TGACGGTATTATTACACTAACAGACTATAACAGACTGAGTATATGATGGTGTTATTACACTGTATAACAGACTGAGTATATGATGGTGTTATTACACTGTATAACAGACTGAGTAGATGATGGTGTTATTACACTGTATAACAGACTGAGTATATGATGGTGTTATTACACTGTATAACAGACTGAGTAGATGATGGTGTTATTACACTGTATAACAGACTGAGTATATGACGGTGTTATTACACTGTATAACAGACTGAGTAGATGACGGTGTTATTACACTGTATAACAGACTGAGTAGATGACGGTGTTATTACACTGTATAACAGACTGAGTATATGATGGTGTTATTACACTGTATAACAGACTGAGTAGATGACGGTGTTATTACACTGTATAACAGACTGAGTAGATGACGGTGTTATTACACTGTATAACAGACTGAGTATATGATGGTGTTATTACACTGAGTATATGATGGTGTTATTACACTGTGTAACAGACTGGGTATATGATGGTGTTATTACACTGTATAACAGACTGAGTATATGATGGTGTTATTACACTGTATAACAGACTGAGTATATGATGGTGTTATTACACTGTATAACAGACTGAGTATATGATGGTGTTATTACACTGTATAACAGACTGAGTATATGATGGTGTTATTACACTGTATAATGAACTGAGTATATGATGGTGTTATTACACTGTATAACAGACTGGGTATATGATGGTGTTATTACACTGTATAACAGACTGGGTATATGATGGTGTTATTACACTGTATAACAGACTGGGTATATGATGGTGTTATTACACTGTATAACAGCATGGGTATATGATGATGTTATTACACTGTATAACAGACTGAGTATATGATGGTGTTATTACACTGTATAATGAACTGAGTATATGATGGTGTTATTACACTGTATAACAGATTGAGTATATGATGGTGTTATTACACTGTATAACAGACTGAGTACATGATGGTGTAATTACACTGTATAATGAACTGAGTATATGATGGTGTTATTACACTGTATAACAGACTGAGTATATGATGGTGTTATTACACTGTATAACAGACTGAGTATATGATGGTGTTATTACACTGTATAACAGACTGAGTATATGATGGTGTTATTACACTGTATAATGAACTGAGTATATGATGGTGTTATTACACTGTATAACAGACTGAGTATATGATGGTGTTATTACACTGTATAACGTACTGTGTATATGATGGTGTTATTACACTGTATAACAGACTGGGTATATGACAGTGTTATTACACTGTATAACAGACTGAGTACATGATGGTGTTATTACACTGTATAACAGACTGAGTATATGATGGTGTTATTACACTGTATAATGAACTGAGTATATGATGGTGTTATTACACTGTATAACAGACTGAGTATATGATGGTGTTATTACACTGTATAACGAACTGGGTATATGATGGTGTTATTACACTGTATAACAGACTGAGTATATGATGGTGTTATTACACTGTATAACGAACTGGGTATATGATGGTGTTATTACACTGTATAACAGACTGGGTATATGACAGTGTTATTACACTGTATAACAGACTGAGTACATGATGGTGTTATTACACTGTATAACAGACTGAGTATATGATGGTGTTATTACACTGTATAATGAACTGAGTATATGATGGTGTTATTACACTGTATAACAGACTGAGTATATGATGGTGTTATTACACTGTATAACGAACTGGGTATATGATGGTGTTATTACACTGTATAACAGACTGGGTATATGACAGTGTTATTACACTGTATAACAGACTGAGTATATGATGGTGTTATCACACTGTATAACAGACTGAGTATATGATGGTGTTATTACACTATATAACAGACTGGGTATATGATGGTGTTATTACACTGTATAACAGCCTGAGTATATGATGGTGTTATTACCATGTATAACAACCTCAGTATATGACACTGAAGCAGATGTACTAAGAATCAGGACTCTGCAGTGTTGAAGGTTTCCTGTTACATAAACAGTCAACTTTTTTTTGCTGCAATATGGCAAATATCCAAGTGTGTAACCATCTTTAAAAGTACAAATCACAATTCATGCATGGGAATGATTACAGTACATAATGTGTTGACAGTTCAGTGATAAAGGATCCAGAGAGTTACCTCCCCTTTGGACAGTATAATACTTTTCAGCAGTTGTTTTACTTTATGTACTTAAGCACGGTGTAAAATGTCATTTTGAGACTTTAGTAAATCATCATTTTTTTGTAAGCAAAATCTTTCTGACTTATTTATGTGAAGTTTAACTTAATTAAATTCAAAATCACAAGGAGCAAATTATAAAAGTGCCTTAAAACAGAACAGAAAACTTCATCAATAAATAACAAAACACTGATAAAAGTTGATCAGTGGTTTAAAAAAATATGAAATGTGTATCGATGGCCGAACAGACAGATAAAGATAAAACAGTAACTCAAAGAGTCAAGAAAGCTCATTAGTGCCTGTAGAAACACAGGTGAAATTTCACCAATGGCTGAGACACTGATGAAAGTTCATCAATGGTTGTAGAATCATGACTTAAAATACTGATGAACTTTCATCAGTGACTGAAAAACGGATCACTTCATCTAGAAACAGTGTACGTTTTTTGGAACCACTCAAAGAGGTTCACCTGAAACCTTTGACATTCCAAGAATCATCATGTTCATGACATAAGTTGGCAGGATACAGTGGCTTATCAAATCTAGGGACACACTAATGAGAGAGGTGTATTCTTCATACACAAGTAAAGCAGATGTTGTACTGAAGACAAATCCAGCTACTGTATAGTCACACACACACACACATATTTAGTACACTCAATGTATTAATGGACACAAGATATTTGTATAGAGATCGAAAAAACCTCTAGCTTCTGAATGTCACTCAATATGCATTAAAGCAACCTGGGGTGTATGACCTAGAGAATAAGCCCTTGATAAATATTCATAATACTGCTAGCCTACTTAAAGTGGTGATGACAAATGGAATGTGGCTGAGAGTGACAAAACACATATTGTGGTTAAAATTGTGCCATGGAATATCTCTACAGCCGACAGTTGTTTATAATCATATTCAAATACAAGTCAATAAATGTGAAATATGTATCTAAGTTAGAAATTTTTAAAAAATTATTGTAAGATTTTTTTTTGCCTGTGAGTAAATATTAAATTTGAAGAACATATTTAATGTATGTTACACTCACAATGGAAATGACATCAGAATTTAACAATATATGACGTGAAAAACTTTATTTTCACAAATTAATTTTAAAAGTACAGACAGATTGAGCCAACCCAGACAATTTTCTTCATAAAATCAATCATGCATATGAAAGAAAACCCACACAAGAGGAGATCTTAATCAGCTCAATTAACAGTACAATGTAATTACAATTCTAGTTTAGGGACAAAAAAGTCACAAAAAATGGACCACCCTCTGATATGGAATGAAATATTAATCAATTAGTAAATGAATCCATTAATTAAAACTGCGTAAAATCCACACAGTGCTATATAGAAATGTTCGCTTGACTCATCTTTTAGCTTCTGCTTACTTGCAGCAAACATATCCATCCTATCTTAACCATTTTTCAAAGTCAATTCAAAGTTTAAATCCAACTGTAAAACATTAAATTAGATTTTCAGATTTAATATAAAATTTCATCCTACATGAAATTGTTATTATGTCAATTGAAATTTCATCTCTGGGGGCATATCTTGAACTGAGGTGCTTGGTTTAGATTCAGAAACAATAAAAGTCCTTGTCTTATCCCTCCAGTTTTTCTATAGCCACTCCTACCTTCTGGAGATAAAACCTGTTTATTATCTTTATCATTATTGTATGATTGTATGAAATATCATACTTATATGTAGTATCTATTATTGACCTCGTTCCTATCTTTTTAGGGAATTATTTGGTCAGAGAAGTGTAAACAAACTAACTACTGTTTGGGACCAGGTCTGTAGTGGAACCTCAATGAAGCAGTACTCAACATTTGTGTTAAGTGACGGCTTGTTAGTAATATTTTATCAATTATATTTTCTATCATACAGATAAACTAGATATGTGAAGGGTTGTTCAGATTGTTAAAGATTAGCTCATTTTGTGAAAGTGTTTCACTTTGATGTAAGTATAACACAACAGGGTCGTTGTCTCCTGTTTTAAGGATATTGCTCGGAGGTGTAAAACACTTGAGATACCTAAATGTAACGTCATTAAAAGCTCTATATTTGAGAAAACACTTAGGGAAGATTTTTTTTAAAATTCTTAATGTAGAATGTAAAAGTATCTCTAAGCACTGTCCTTACATGATACCTCATTATCATAAATGTTTTCAGGGTTTACACCTTCTTAAGTATCAAATACAAAATTAAGCTTGTATGAATAGGATTTCATTCTGAACTGCAATTGTAGTCAGTTAAGTAGTTTAACTATTCACCTTGATATATTTGACCTATGACTTTATCACATTTCCTTTGACCTTTGACTTATCTCATTTCTTGTGACCTCTGACTGATTATCTCTTTCTTTTGACCTTTGACTTATGATCTTGTTACTTTTGACCTTTGACTTATCATCTTGTTTCTTTTGACCTTTGACTTATTATCTTGTTTCTTTTGACCTTTGACTTATTATCTCATTTCTTTTACCCTAAGGCTTATAATCTCATTTCTATTGATCTTTGAGACTTGTTATCTTATTTCTTTTGATATTTGACTTATTGCATCTCTAAACCTGTTCTTTATTAAATCACATCTCCATTTCTTTGACATTTACATCATTGCACACATCATCAATGCCTTTTGACCTGTAACTACTGAGAGCTGACCTTTAATTCATGTACACACTTTTTTTTCCATATTCCCCAAAAACAACTAACCGCTTTACAGATACCAAATTTATTCTGAAATAAACCTATAGGGCTTACATATGAAAGTTAAGCTCTCTGTAGGGAGACAGGCTTATTCCAGGATAATGCACTTTTCTAATGAAAATGCAATGAATATTGTTGGGTGTATTACCAGGCATTGTGTTATTGTTGGGTGTATAACCAGGCATTGTGTTATTGTTGGGTGTATAACCAGGCATTGTGTTATTGTTGGGTGTATAACCAGGCATTGTGTTATTGTTGGGTGTATAGCCAGGCATTGTCTTATTGTTGGGTGTATAGCCAGGCATTGTGTTATTGTTGGGTGTATAACCAGGCATTGTGTTATTGTTGGGTGTATAACCAGGCATTGTGTTATTGTTGGGTGTATAACCAGGCATTGTGTTATTGTTGGGTGTATAACCAGGCATTGTGTTATTGTTGGGTGTATAACCAGGCATTGTGTTATTGTTGGGTGTATAACCAGGCATTGTGTTATTGTTGGGTGTATAACCAGGCATTGTGTTATTGTTGGGTGTATAACCAGGCATTGTGTTATTGTTGGGTGTATAACCAGGCATTGTGTTATTGTTGGGTGTATAACCAGGCATTGTGTTATTGTTGGGTGTATAACCAGGCATTGTGTTATTGTTGGGTGTATAACCAGGCATTGTGTTATTGTTGGGTGTATAACCAGGCATTGTGTTATTGTTGGGTGTATAACCAGGCATTGTGTTATTGTTGGGTGTATAACCAGGCATTGTGTTATTGTTGGGTGTATAACCAGGCATTGTGTTATTGTTGGGTGTATAACCAGGCATTGTGTTATTGTTGGGTGTATAACCAGGCATTGTGTTATTGTTGGGTGTATAACCAGGCATTGTCTTATTGTTGGGTGTATAACCAGGCATTGTCTTATTGTTGGGTGTATAACCAGGCATTGTGTTATTGTTGGGTGTATAACCAGGCAATGTCTTATTGCTTGGTAAAGTGCTGGAGCAATGAGTCACAAATGATATCCTTAAATGACAAGCTGATTTCTATAAATAATTATTATGGCAAAGTGTTAAAAATTCACATCCAGGTCCTTACATTTCATCGGTTGGAAAATAACAAAATTATATTGTAATTACAGTTCAGTCAGCAATAAAATGAAAAAAAAAATAAACATTACATTCAAAGAAAGCCCAAATTTAAAACTAATCAATTATAACATAATTTGAATATATTCAAATTTTATATGTAATTTTGTTCATTCAACAATTTTATTCTTTTCAAATCCAACTTAGGATATTTGTTGCTTTGTCATACAACAACAATTAAAGGACTGTAGAAAAAAGTAATAAACAACGGGACACATAAGGAACAACACCAGGAATGTTGTAGACAGGAGTCGGATATCGGCTCCTTTGGATGTCTTAATAGGTCGAGGGTAGAATTACCCACACATTCACCAAGGAAGTCTTGTGAGAACATTTACCATATACTACAGACTTTTGTGTAATATTGAATTTCAAATAAACAGTAAACTGATCTACCATATTTGATAAGAATCAGAGAAAGACAATTTTACAAACATTTGCATTTTCAATTTCAGGGTGACTGCCCTTATATATCTGTAACTGTTCCAGTACAATGAATCTCTGTATAATGACAATCCGCAGCATTGTGTTTGTCCCTTTTAAGAATAACGCTCATAACAATACTGTTTTAATGTTCAAATTCATCTCTTTAAAAGAATGAAATACCTAGAAAAACTTCAAATACAATGTATCTGGTATGATTAAAACAAAATATGTTTATCTAAATTCTGTGTAAATACTGGTTGGCAGTGAAAAATCTGTCGGACTAAGAGGTAATTCAGGATTTTACCATCCAATCATCATAAACTTGGAAATTCATGGTGTGTGTGTCCCAACATAACCATATGTTAGTAGTCATAAAACATCGCAGACCCTGCCTTCCACATTGTCGACATTAAGCACCTTATATTTGGTATTGTGTTGAATTCATGAGGACAATTTAACGCAGGCTGTTATGTATATACACATACGACCTTATGTAATATGCTTGTATAAAAAATACATTGTTGTAAATCCATCTGGTGGGGCACACTTTGTATAAAATCAGCCCCCTTTATGTCCCAATCCTTACATTGTAAATACAAAATAGCAACGGAAACTCTGATCCAATAATACTGCGACTACAACCTGCCAAGTACAAGGGTAATGTGTCAGATTAGAGACGTTTACATCCTCAAAGAAACTTTCATTAAGACCTTGAAAGAAACAATTTCTCATATGCTGTTAAACTTTGATATAACGCCCTTTTCAATGTTCCATCCACAGTAGCAGTTTATTTGATCCAGTTTCCTATTCTTCATCTTCATTTAAATATCAGGTTTTCTATTGTATACAACCCTTCGCCAATATGACATCATTTTAAACACTGGAAAGAATTAAGATTTCATAAAATTTGTTTTCATTTACAATGAAACTAAACTTTGATCCTCCTGTCTTTCCTGACACATAAATGTTTACATGCACCTTTATAAACTGGCACCTGACTTTACTGACATCTGACTTCACTACCACTGGACTTTTCTGATATCTAACTTTACTGACATCTGACTTCACTACCACTGGACTTTTCTGATATCTAACTTTACTGACGTCTGACTTCACTACCACTGGACTTTTCTGATATCTAACTTTACTGATGTCTGACTTCACTACGTCTGACTTCACTACCACTGGACTTTTCTGATATCTAACTTCACTGACACCTGACTTAAAGACATCGACATGTGACTTTATGAACACCCAAATTGTTTAAGCTCATAGAATTATTGCAATTATGACAGAATTAAAGAGAAGATTTCATAATGAAAGTTCCAGTCCATCCTGTTATTCAAACACAAACATTATGATAATTGAGAAATTCACTTTCTGCTACAGGAGACTGGGGAAATGTCTGGCTCGAATTGGCAAAAACGGTTTGTTTTTTTCAATTTCTGTGATTATATGTCACATATTATCATGAAATTCTTTCTTTCTCAAGTTCAAGTAAATGCATTTTGATAACCAATTCATAAAGATGTCTTAAATTTGATATAAATATAAGTTTTAAGGGGTGATAAAAACTAAAATGAAGAGATTGTTAAATAAGACAACATGTGGAATAATAAAAATGTTTACATTTGAACTTTGAGATCACAAATTCAATCACAAACACAGAAATTCCAAATTTTTATGAAAATTTGGGTCAATTTTCATCCTGCCACAGAAAACACAGCAAATCAGACTGGCACAGATATCTTTAAAAAAAAGAGAGAGAGAGAGTAAAGATAAAAGGAGGATCATTCGATTGGACAGGAAGATTGCTGTATGGTTCCTGATAGCAGTACTGGCCCTCTAGTAAGACAACACCCCAGAATACTATCTCCACAATCTGATAGGGTTTTCTAGCCTAATCAAATTAGTTTCAAACACTCTTGAGGCCAAACTAATAAACTGCTGTTTCACATTTCATATTGAAAAACTCAAAGCGTGCATAATTTTCATTTCATTATGCAGATTTTCTTGCAAAATAATTGCTCAAGACACTGCTCTCATTTTTAAGTATACCTGTCGAAAGATTCTTAAATCTTCATGGTAGGCACTCAAACAATTTCGTTGACAAGGTTTTGCAAAAACATTTGTTTACTTTTTTTGGCCTAACAAGGTCTGCCATCTTGATCTGTGTTACCCTCTACTTGAGAGAAAGTTTATTTTGATAACATCTGTCTTTGTCGTGATAACCCTCGTATTACACCAGATTACTAATCCTGTTATCATTGTCCTCATATTTATTACATACAGGTACTTAACCACTGGTGTGATACGTACGGCAGATTACAGGGCTGTTACGACATCATACCAACACTACTATCTCCCGAGGACATCAGAGTCAGTCCTCAACACCGACTGTGACCAGACAATGTCACCGCTGTACAGGGAGACAGTGATACGGGTAGTAGATAAATCTCCGTAAATCATTCAATCCTACAAACAGAAAGTGTTGGTTGTGGGGAAGATACAGAGTATGAGATTAGCACAGGGTGAGAAGTGGGTACAGGGTGGGGTGGGGAGGGGTACAGGGTGTGGTGGGAAGGGGTACAGGGTGGGGTGGGGAGGGGTACAGGGTGTGGTGGGAAGGGGTACAGGGTAATAGATACAGGGGGTGGTGGGGACCCTGTGGTGGGGAAAGGTACAGGGTGTGGTGGGGAGGGGTACAGGGTGTGGTGGGGAGGGGTACAGGGTAATAGGATCAGGGGATGGTGGGGAGAGGTACAGGGTAATAGGTACAGGGTGTGGTGGGGAGGGGTACAGGGTGTGGTGGGAAGGGGTACAGGGTAATAGGTACAGTGGGTGAAGAGAATAACAGGGTGTGGTGGTGAGGGGTACTGGGTAATAGGTACAGGGAGTGAAGAGAATAACAGGGGGTGGTGTGGAGGGGTACTGCGTAATAGGTACAGGGAGTGAAGAGAATAATAGAGGTGGTGGGGAGGGATAGGGGTATAGGGTAGGTACAAGGTATGAGTGGTTCAGGGTGTAGTGGGGAGGGGTACAGAGTACAAGATGGGTACAAGGTGTGTTGGGGATGGGTACAGGGTATGGTGTGGATACAGGTGTGGAAAGAGTACAGGAGTGTGGTGGGTACAGGATTTGTTGGTGGGTTGTGTGGGGTTGGTAGAGCTGCGGGGAAGTACAGAAGTTTAGTGGGTACAGGATTTGTTGGTTGATAATGTGGGGTTGGTATAAGTGTAGAGTGGGTACAGGGTGTTAGACAGGGCACTGCAGTTATGTATGATGTGTACCTAGAAGGGTCTTGAGGCTGGGTACAAAGTCTGGGGCTAGATTAATGAGTTTACAGGTCCCTATTTGGTTTAGAGAAAACTTTTACAGTTATGATTTTATTTAGCATGCATTTGTTTTATCTTTCATGTTTTTATGTAGTCAGAACAGTTCTACCAGGTAAGTGATTTAACATGGTAATATAAGTTGAATATAATTATAACAATCAAGTTTTCTGACGTGAGATCATTTATAACATGCAATACAGTGTAAGCTTACCAAGTACTTTACAAGATTACAACAGGAAACAACATGGCACCATTATAATTAAGCTGTGGAAAACAGCAGGTTTCTTGTCTACATCAGTACAATCTGTGAGAAACTTGGTATATCAATATTTACAGTGCTTAATGTCATGTGCTGTTTTGACGGCCACACCAGATTTACACTACTTATAATCTTCAGTAGATAGAGAGGTGGATTAACAAGTCTTCAATATGCCCACCCATAGCTGACATCCACACCCTCTTTCCTCCACTGAACTACTCATTCTCAATGGTCTTTCTCAAATTTCTTGCAATTTATTTTGTCCTTATTGTGAAGGATTATGGTACCCTGAGGTCAGTTAAAGCTTTAAAACTGACCATTGAGAAAAAACTGACCACTGGGAATCTGTCCTAACTCCATGCTTTATCTGTTGTAAAGGCTATACGAACATTACACCTGTCTGTGATAATGAGCAGATGAATTTGTATGGTCAGTGTGAGCCACATGATACCCAAGGCTTTGATCAAAGCTCCTGTCTGTTCCGATGTTTGACAATTTGCTATGTTTTTTTGTCCAGAACTTATAACCATCCTCTTTCGAAGTCCTCATTGTCAGTTACATTTGAAGAGATTATTTGATATTACTTAAAATCAATATTGATTTGAAGTTTTAGGTTGAAATTGACACTACTTGGGTGTATGTTTGACCGAGTTCAGTACGTATATACACACATATGGTATGTGTGTTTACTACAGCAGTATAGCTTTTATAAGTATTAAAGTTTTTTAAAATATTTCTTGTATAACAATCAGTTCAGGAGGGGACATTTTAATGAGAGA